CAGCGTGGCGGTTGCAACAATGGTCATGCTTCTTTAATCACCCTCTCTGCCTCTGCCCACCCAGCAATATAACCAAGTAGACAAAGAGACAGTCGATCGTAGATCACGCGTCCTACTCTTCCGTGGAGAGGAAGAGTAGGCCAAATGTCCTATCAAGCAGTAGTTCTTCACCTGGGGTGCACGGACCCCCTGGGGGTGTGAGATGCCCTCTCTGGGGCCCAGTGCGAGACACGGACAGATTTTTTTAAGGTAAATCATCGAAACACAAATTAAGCACGGGCACATACGTTGCAACTTACTTTGTTTCATCAAACCCTCTGCATTTATGAACATTGTACATTTTTTTTTTACGATTGAGAACCAAAGTGGGGGAAGGGCGGGGGGATGCAAGGCTACAGTAAAGGTTAAGAACCGCTGGTGTAGAGGAATCTCTACAGCCCCCTCTTCGGGGAAGGCCCCTTCCGTCAGCAGTGGCGTAAGCGAGATATTGCAGGGCGTGCACCTTTGCCGTTTCACTTTTCGATGAGTTATTTTTAGACGTAATTTGACCGAGCAAACGTTAAAAAAATGTAGATTTTACTGAACGTAGCCGCGCACAATTGCGCAGTCATTTTGAGTACCACCTGTTCGCGCGGTTAATTTCTGCTCTGATTGAGATTCATTGTCCTCGCCGTATGAAGTCTGATTTATCTTTGTATATTTTCGGTGACCCGGGTCACCCTTGCAAATGAGATTGCCGAGTTCTCACACCCGGTGAAACAAAATAAATAAAAGCAAACGTCTCCTTTTGAAACGCAGTGCAGTTTCAAGAGTTGTTATTGGTCGCGCTTTGCTCTCCCGCAGGAGTAGGATGCATTATTAATGCAGCTGGGAGGGCAGTAACGTGGTCAGGAACGCGCGCAAAGACACAGATCCCCCATGTGTCAGACCTTAGCAGACTGTTGGGCCAAGTGCTGTTTAGCGAGTAGCACCTACGAAGGCCGACACGGCACACGAGGGGTTGGTGTGGCCAGCACCATCGGGTGGCATCACTTTTGTGAGCACGAACGCACGTTGAGAGTTGTTATACGATTTAAATGATCTGATTTAAAAAATATATATATGCAATTGTCTTGTAGAATCCCACATTAATTCCTAACATACATCATTTAAAAAGGCACAGTGTGCTTACCAGCGCATTATTTAGAGAACAAAAAATATTTTTTTTCAACGTGTTCAAAAAAGTGGCCTTGGGCAGGACACGTGGCCAGAAGGGTTTAGGGTCAAGGGTCAATTATATCGATGGAGCGGCAGCCAAGGAACAAAAAACGTGTCTAAGAGCACGCCAATTCGAGAGATGGAGCGATTCAGCCAGCTCGTGTGCGAGTGCTTAGTGGATCGTTACATCGCAGAATCGTACGAGAGATGTTGTCGGCTGAAGGAGACCTTCGACCAGCAGTGGATTGACCATGGCCGATGATTAAACACACAAATCACTTAAAAGGGCATGGCATACTTACGGGTGACATTTAAAAAAATAATACTTTTGAATTGTTAATAATCAACTCTCCAACTCTCAACCCAACAAAATTACACACAAATCACGTAAACAACCCACCCTCCCCCATCATCGCTATCGCAAAACCATGGTCGATCCACTGCTGGATGATGGCCTCGGCAAGCCACTGCCACCATCTCTCACCCCCCCCGTGATGAGAAGTTAAACACTTTCTACAAGGCTAACGAGCGAGACAGAAAACGTTACTGTACTGTTTCGTCGGTCCAAGGCGGGGATTTAAATAATGATAAGGCGGGTGAGTGGGGCTGTGGGTCTTTCCTGAACAGCGATTCTCAAAAGACCGGGCAACTGTAAAACTGTCACGACCACCACCACCACCCACCAACCATCACCGTCAGTCACTACCACGCGCGCTCGGTGGGTTTGTTTTCACACCCATATTTACACTGCGTGACAATCGCATCGTACACACACACATCTCTCTCTCTCTCAGCCTGCAGACAACGCAGGCGGAACGCTGCTACGTAGCGGCTGCGGCGGCAGTGACCGGCCACCCGGATTAGCACAGCAGCAGCAGCAAACAGGGCCATGTTGGGGGATGGGTGAGCCCTGGGAAGGTATGCGAGGAGGTGGTGGTGCTGTTAGCGCTACGCTGCACTATGAACCAGGCGTCCCAAGTTCGATTCCCGCTCTCGTGGCCACCAACACCGAGTGACGATTATCCGAACCCCTGTTGGGCCTCCCCCTAGGTCGACTCAGCCTCAAATGGCTACCTGGTGCGCTGTGGTAAACATCGCCACTGGGGAGACAAAGGCGGGCGAGCGTGGTGCTGACCACCCCACCCCCTGCGTGTGCCATGGTGCCGGCCTTCGTTGGTGCTGCTCGCTAACAGCACTTGCCCCGAACAGCCTGTGAAGGCTACGCTGGGGATCTTTGTCTTTGGTGGTGGCAGCGGTGGGGAGGGTGCGCTGGAGAGAGAGAGAGAGAGGAAGGCTGAAAGGAGAGAGGCGGGCATTTTGTTATGAGGAGGGGGGCAAACACCCAGAAAACGAGTTTGGAATTCCAAGGTTGGGTTGTGGGGTGGGAGGAGGTGGTGGTGGTGGTGAAAATGAGAATATAATTAAATATGTAACAGACCTGACCCTGATCAGGGCTGTTCCCATTATCATCATTGTTTACACACACAGTGAACTACGCACATTACAGCCGCAGCAAATCTAGCAAACATCCAGTACCACAACAACAACGACGACGACAGACACAAATAAACCTATTTATTGTTTCCCCACCAATTAGGCGCGTGGCGCCAACAACGAGAGGCGAATTTCTCCATTGGCCGGAGCCGAGAGGCGCGCGCGAGGAGGCTTCGGGCCCCCCAGAGCTGCGCTGGCAGTGGCCAAGCACAGTCGGAGCGTCCTCAGGCCACAGAAACACAAAAGGGGCTTCCTGGCGGAGGGCACGGGCAGAGGGGAGGGAGGGCTGGGAGGGCTGGAGGGGGGACTCGGCTGTGGGCGCCTGTGAAGGCCAGGGGCTGTGATCCGGTCGGCCTGGACAGAGTGGAACAATCAGCCGAGAATGCAGCCCGAAACCATCCCCCACCCACCACCTTCCCCCGGCCGCCACACCCCCCCACAACTCTTCCCCCCACCACCACCCCCCACCAACCCCCCCCCCACCAATCAACTCACCAACAACCTCACCACACCTCCACCACCCCAACCCCCCCCACCACAACCCCCCACAACCTCCCCACCCCACCCACAACCCCCCACCACAACCCTCCCCCCCCCGCCAACCCCCCCACCACTGTCCCAAAATACAACCCCAGAGGGACAGTCTTCACCGAGAGGCCGTGGTGATGATGGAAATAAGAGACGCGGCCACGGAACGAGCAAGCGAGATGTTGACCTGTCCACTCGTGACAACAACCTCATCGGAGAACGATTACAATAAGCGATTAAAATACGCGATTAAAATAAGCGATTAAAATTCCCTACTGGCTGTCGAGGGAAATATATAACATTTTAATCGCAGCGATTCTCAATCTAATTTTTTCCATAGTCTCCGCATATTTCATTTACACAATGCTTACACAGCAGAACGTTTTGTTCTCTCCGTAATTGATGGGGGGGGGGGGGGTTAGATCGCGTAAATATTAATGTGTCGTGAAACCCGCCACCACCCGACACAGCCAATTAGTAAGGGTTGTCACGTAAACAGAACGTGCCAATTCGTTACTACTATTCGTTGCTAGTACTGTTAAACAGTACGTTTTTTTTGTTATCGATTGCAATTTTATTCATTATGTGCATTCACTAGATTGTACAACTATAATGTACAGCCCTATGTCAATCCCCTGCTGGGGAAAAAAAACATGCCTCCTCACGTTATGCTCGTCACGGTTTTTTTAGTTTTTGAAATCATACTTCACCATGCTGGTCATTGCGGATTGTCGACATGCGGTTTGGGAGGAGGGAGAGGCAGACCGATGAGTCTGATGTCATGATGAGTCTGACGCCACGATGAGTCTGACGTCACGATGAGTCTGAGTCTGACGTCACGATGAGTCTGACGTCACGATGAGTCTGATATCAGGGACACAACTGATGTTAGCTGTGGGCCAGCAATCGAGTTCGGGGTGACCAGGTTCACAGCGCAAGCAACGTGCACACCACTGCCCCCCGTTAGACCCACAGCCTACCGTTTAATTTACTTTCCTTTCATTTACAGATTAAGGCATGCACGCTACACACACCTGATGATTACTTATCGCATCCAAACACACACGTGTGATGCGCTAACCACTGCACCAGCGGCACCAGGGGCAAAAATAATGAGCGGGACCATTCGTTTGGCGGAATGGCTTTTGCGCGCTAATTAAAATAACGGAACATTGGCAGGCACCATTAAGAAAAATGCTTAACTGATAAGAATTTAAGTGAACCTTAATCCGATACAACCGCACGGTCTGTTTTATTTCTCCTTCCTGAATCTGAGCGCGGTCGATCGAATGTACTCGGCGTTTCATTTATGCAACGTCGACAACTACATCAACACCAACAACAAACAACAACAAATGTTGAACGAGGGGAATCCGTCGGTGTGCGAGGCACGGAGGTGACGTCCGACCTGCGCTTGCATTGAAACAGCTCCGTTCGGCTTTCGTTCTAAAAATAAGGAGTCCATCGGGTAAATTGCATTTGAACCCCGCGGTAGATTTAGCGCGCTGCCGTGAGACCGACGGAGCACGTGTATTTGTGTAAATATATATTCAAGCTGTTACCGCTATATTCGGACAATGCAAGGTATAAATACACACACGCGCGCACGTGCATATGCACATGCTGCATTGCCACACAGTTTATAATAAAGCGGCAATCATTATCCGCAAGAACAATATGCCGGGAGACTGCGCTGATAATGCAGGAGCTTATATTGCAGAGAATACGCTACTTGCCCTTGCCTCAGGCTGTCCTTCGTACGTCAAGCGTGGCATTATTTGCGTGCACACGCACAACAAAATCCCAGGATGCATCATTGCATCAGATCAGATGACCTCCCAGAATTCTCCGGGGCTGCTCGCTCAGCCAAGTGAGAAGCTTTAACCGCGCGTTAGGCAGGCAGACAGAGACAAAAAATTTTTTTTGGCGAATTTCAGTTTGAAAATCATACACAACAATGCCGCCAATCCTTGCGGAGTGATTCGTGCAGCAGCGGAGTGAACATGTCTGATGACACATTTTGTTTGTTTGTTCCTATCACGGTTGCCGAGCGCAGGCTCAAGAGGTCTGACATGCCAAGGGGCCAGCCACAAACAGCACGCCTCAACGTGCAGCCCTGCATATCGCTTTGCCCACTCCGCTGCTGACCAAAGAAAGGGCCTCAACTAAAGAGGGAGCTCTGGAGAGGCGCCCTCTCAATGCGCAATGGATAAAAGGTAACAAAAGCACTTCTTGAATGCAGTTATATGTAACTTGGGGACATTGCAAAGTGGAGCGGTGCGAGAGAAGACGCAGAAAGAGAAATGTTGTGACCTGCAGTGGTTGTGAGTGGGTGGGTGAGTGTGTTGTTGTTGTGACCTGCAGTGGTTGTGAGTGGGTGGGTGAGTGTGTTGTTGTTGTGACCTGCAGTGTGGTGAGTGGGTGGGTGAGTGTGTTGTTGTTGTGACCTGTAGTGGTGGTGAGTGGGTGGGTGAGTGTGTTGTTGTTGTGACCTGCAGTGGTGGTGAGTGGGTGGGTGAGTGTGTTGTTGTTGTGACCTGCAGTGGTTGTGAGTGGGTGGGTGAGTGTGTTGTTGTTGTGACCTGTAGTGGTGGTGAGTGTGTTGTTGTTGTGACCTGCAGTGGTGGTGAGTGGGTGGGTGAGTGTGTTGTTGTTGTGACCTGCAGTGGTGGTGAGTGGGTGGGTGAGTGTGTTGTTGTTGTGACCTGCAGTGGTGGTGAGTGGGTGGGTGAGTGTGTTGTTGTTGTGACCTGCAGTGGTTGTGAGTGGGTGGGTGAGTGTGTTGTTGTTGTGACCTGTAGTGGTGGTGAGTGTGTTGTTGTTGTGACCTGCAGTGGTGGTGAGTGGGTGGGTGAGTGTGTTGTTGTTGTGACCTGCAGTGGTGGTGAGTGGGTGGGTGAGTGTGTTGTTGTTGTGACCTGCAGTGGTGGTGAGTGGGTGGGTGAGTGTGTTGTTGTTGTGACCTGTAGTGGTGGTGAGTGTGTTGTTGTTGTGACCTGTAGTGGTGGTGAGTGGGTGGGTGAGTGTGTTGTTGTTGTGACCTGCAGTGTGGTGAGTGGGTGGGAGAGTGTGTTGTTGTTGTGACCTGCAGTGTGGTGAGTGGGTGGGTGAGTGTGTTGTTGTTGTGACCTGTAGTGGTGGTGAGTGGGTGGGTGAGTGTGTTGTTGTTGTGACCTGCAGTGTGGTGAGTGGGTGGGAGAGTGTGTTGTTGTTGTGACCTGCAGTGTGGTGAGTGGGTGGGTGAGTGTGTTGTTGTTGTGACCTGTAGTGGTGGTGAGTGGGTGGGTGAGTGTGTTGTTGTTGTGACCTGTAGTGGTGGTGAGTGGGTGGGTGAGTGTGTTGTTGTTGTGACCTGCAGTGTGGTGAGTGGGTGGGAGAGTGTGTTGTTGTTGTGACCTGCAGTGTGGTGAGTGGGTGGGTGAGTGTGTTGTTGTTGTGACCTGCAGTGGTGGTGAGTGGGTGGGTGAGTGTGTTGTTGTTGTGACCTGCAGTGTGGTGAGTGGGTGGGTGAGTGTGTTGTTGTTGTGACCTGCAGTGGTGGTGAGTGGATGGGTGAGTGTGTTGTTGTTGTGACCTGCAGTGTGGTGAGTGGGTGGGTGAGTGTGTTGTTGTTGTGACCTGTAGTGGTGGTGAGTGGGTGGGTGAGTGTGTTGTTGTTGTGACCTGTAGTGGTTGTGAGTGGGTGGGTGAGTGTGTTGTTGTTGTGACCTGCAGTGTGGTGAGGGGGTGGGTGAGTGTGTTGTTGTTGTGACCTGCAGTGGTGGTGAGTGGGTGGGTGAGTGTGTTGTTGTTGTGACCTGCAGTGTGGTGAGTGGGTGGGTGAGTGTGTTGTTGTTGTGACCTGTAGTGGTGGTGAGTGGGTGGGTGAGTGTGTTGTTGTTGTGACCTGCAGTGTGGTGAGTGGGTGGGTGAGTGTGTTGTTGTTGTGACCTGCAGTGTGGTGAGTGGGTGGGTGAGTGTGTTGTTGTTGTGACCTGCAGTGGTGGTGAGTGGATGGGTGAGTGTGTTGTTGTTGTGACCTGCAGTGGTGGTGAGTGGGTGGGTGAGTGTGTTGTTGTTGTGACCTGCAGTGGTGGTGAGTGGATAGGTGAGTGTGTAGTTGTTGTGACCTGCAGTGGTGGTGAGTGGGTGGGTGAGTGTGTTGTTGTTGTGACCTGCAGTGGTGGTGAGTGGGTGGGTGAGTGTGTTGTTGTTGTGACCTGTAGTGGTGGTGAGTGTGTTGTTGTTGTGACCTGCAGTGTGGTGAGTGGGTGGGTGAGTGTGTTGTTGTTGTGACCTGCAGTGGTGGTGAGTGGATGGGTGAGTGTGTTGTTATTGTGACCTGCAGTGGTGGTGAGTGGGTGGGTGAGTGTGTTGTTGTTGTGACCTATAGTGGTGGTGAGTGGGTGGGTGAGTGTGTTGTTGTTGTGACCTGCAGTGTGGTGAGTGGGTGGGTGAGTGTGTTGTTGCTGTGACCTGCAGTGTGGTGAGTGGGTGGGTGAGTGTGTTGTTGTTGTGACCTGCAGTGGTGGTGAGTGGATAGGTGAGTGTGCTGTTGTTGTGACCTGCAGTGGTGGTGAGTGGGTGGGTGAGTGTGTTGTTGTTGTGACCTGCAGTGGTGGTGAGTGGGTGGGTGAGTGTGTTGTTGTTGTGACCTGCAGTGTGCTGAGTGGGTGGGTGAGTGTGTTGTTGTTGTGACCTTTAGTGGTGGTGAGTGGGTGGGTGAGTGTGTTGTTGTTGTGACCTGCAGTGTGGTGAGTGGATGGGTGAGTGTGTTGTTGTTGTGACCTGCAGTGTGGTGAGTGGGTGGGTGAGTGTGTTGTTGTTGTGACCTGCAGTGGTGGTGAGTGGGTGGGTGAGTGTGTTGTTGTTGTGACCTGCAGTGGTGCTGAGTGGATGGGTGAGTGTGTTGTTGTGACCTGCAGTGGTGGTGAGTGGGTGGGTGAGTGTGTTGTTGTTGTTGTGACCTGCAGTGGTGGTGAGTGGGTGGGTGAGCATGTTGTTGTTGTGACCTGCAGTGTGGTGAGTGGGTGGGTGAGTGTGTTGTTGTTGTTGTGACTTGCAGTGTGGTGGTTGAATACACTGTGGTGGTTAAGACAAAACAGTCCGTGTCTGGCAGACCAAGTTCTTGACATGGGAGGATAAATCAATGGGTGCATTTCACGGGAACAGTGGCCATGGTAGTAGTAGTAGCAATGGGATGACGATGATGAAATGCATCGATCGAGCATTTGCGATGTGTGCGCGTCAGTCCTCACGCCCGTCGGTGCAAGGAGGCACACCGGTGGAGGACGGGGGTTAATTTTGCGCGCGAAATTCAGCGACAAAAAATTGTTGCCAACTAAGTTTTAGTTGTTTTTTTCTCTTTCATTTTAGTCGGCGGTGACTACGAGCGGAGGACAGTCACCGAGCGCGATGGCGGCGATGGCTGCCGCTGCCGTCCGCCAGGGACCGCGGCGAGAGCGGCCGTGATGGGGTTAACGAAGACGCGGACTGGGATCAATTTTGGTACCGTTACGAAAGACTGCGGCGCACCGAGCAAGACCAAAACACGGTCATTGGCTGTGAGTGTACATCGAAAAGATTGAGCGAGTTCACCGATCGTCTGACCCAAAAGAATTGAAGATAAAACAAAATTGATCGCTTCCTCACGCCGACATATCATGACCGAGGAGTGGACAACATCTTCCACCTGTTGACGAGACTAAGAGAATTATTCGATGAAACCCCACACAGACTTAGAGACGTGACCAATATTCCGCAAAAAAAGGCAACTTCGGTTAAACACCGCTGCTCGCACCCATGGCACAAAGCCACTGGTCGCTTTCCACTTTTAAATCTAGATTGAAAACTCATTTCTTTTAGAATTGCTTTTTTGTGTTCAGTTTGTTGTCCTTTCACCCGCACCTCCAATTAGCACGGTGCGAAAGAAGTTCAACGTACACACACACACTTACAGACACAGGAGGAGGCATCAGCCCAGGGGCCCCGACGACTTGACTGGCCAATTGACTCCGCTAAATGGGACTCAATCTAAAAACATACTCTGGTGGCCCAAATACAAAACAACCCCATCGCAGGTTGGGGAAGGAAGTGTAGGTGTTGCCCCCCCTCCCCCCCCCCCATTCTCGTCCAAGGATAATTACTTTCGCTTGCGCCAATTTCAAATTTGTTGTTTTCTAGATAATGAGCGGTCCTGAGCCGTTATAGGTCAACCAACCGGCGGGTAACGTGAAATAAATTAATGAATGCACAAAGCATTCGCGAGTCACGGCATTGTAAATGTCGCGCGTTTTAATTGCGTATTTGCGCTTTCGTACCGTCAGCCCGGACACATCGAACCGATGAGCTCCTTCCCCATAGTCGTCGTCGCTGCAGGTGAATTATTCGGTGAGCACAGCCGAGCCAGCTGGCAAACGGCGGCCAGAAATCTTCCCCGCCCTCGTGTAATGAACGCACGAATGGATGACTCGACGACGGAGACCAAACGGGGCGCGAGGAAGCGCGCCGGCAGGCTGCGTGCTTGGAATCGCGCCGAGCGACGGAGGGAGAGAGGATCGCGTGGGGAATCAAAAATGGGCGTAAGCGCGCAGGTTAACAAACAACACGACATGAAACGTTCGGGGCGGCTTGGGGCTGCGGGACGTGCCGTCGCTAGAAGCGTTGGTGGACGATGGTCAAGGAGATTAACGGAATGGCAGCCAAGGCACGGAACGGTGCACCGAGAGGATGTCTACCGATGATACCGAGAGATATTTTTGTGCCAGTTCACCGAGCGAATCGGTCCGTGCGTGCAGGTGCGGGGTGGATTATAGCGTCGCGGGATTGGGATAAGATTCCACGGTAGCTTTCGGAGGTCTTCATCCAGCAGTGGACGGACCATGGCTGATGATCGATGATCCACTGCCTAATCACTGTGCCTATAATTATGAGTCCCAAACGTGATTCGTCGATTCAATAATTGCAATCGATTCTTACGCGTACGGTACCCGTGTTGAATCCTGCATGCTTAGATCGATCATACGTTTACACATTTACTTTATTTTTTTATTTGACCAGGTAAGGCTCACTGAGCTATGTAGCTCTTTTGCAGAAGCGACCTGGTCATCACAAATCACAGCTCAACTCAGTGGCTTATCGTCACGTGGTAATGCATAGCAATAGACAATTACTCTGAACGCACACTGATTATAAATGTGGAGGCAAAAACCAGAGGACCCGGAGAAAAATCCGCGCGACCACGGGGAGAGAGACACGCAAACTGAAATATACAGCAGGCGTCAGGATTGGTATCGAACCCACAACCTCCTGTACACCAGGCGAGGTAGTTAACATCTCGCCACTGTGGTGCCCTGAACAGCTGGGAGAGTTCACGCACTGTCACCCCAGCACGCATGGTCTGCCGGTCGACCAGCCGTGGTTCGTGTGTGTATGTACGGTAGGTTCAACTTCTTTCGCACCGTACTTAGCCAATCGTGCTAATCGGGAAGGACAACAAACTAAACGCAAAAAGCAGTTCTAAAGAAATTGTTTTTCAACCAAGATTTGAAAGTGCATAGCTCCAGTGGCTTCCCAATATCGGCAACGAAGAGCGTTCCAGACGGCCGCAGAGGCGCATCTGTAAACGCGCGATGCGGCGACCGTCTTTGTTCGACCGGCTAGCCAAAAAGCCGCCGGCCGCTCCTGCTGCGGCGGCTGCGAGGACGACCGGAGCCTCGCGTCATGATGGTTTACGCTCCCCGACGGGATCGGCGGAGGTGGTATTGTGCGTTTCATTTGTGGCAAGCACTCCAGCGCGTAGCGAGAGCGACCTCGTGACGTATTCGGCCGGGGCGGAGGTGGGGGGGGGGGGGGGGGCCACACGCAGAGGCGGCGGTGCGGTGGGGGGCCCTTTGAGAAACTCGCGGCACCGTCTCCGCTGCCGCACGCGGGCGGAACGACGGGCCCCGATTGCCGCTGCGAGGGGCGACGTCGGCGGTGACGGCGGCGGCGGCGGCGGCGTCCTGACAGCCGCGCGTCACCGCGACTGGCGTGTTGCTTCTCGCTCAGCTGAACCTTTTGACCCCGGAGGCGAGGGACCCCTTTCCGCCGTGAAATGTCAACATCACCTTCATCAATCGCGGCGCCACGGCAGGGAAACGGCCTCCGTCGTACGCACCCCACCGACCCACGCGGGTTATGGAATATCTCCCCGCTCCTCCACGCCCCTCCCTGCCCCTCTCCGCCCCGGCCGCTGCAGTCCAAAACGCACCCGCTCGTCGCAGAGGCTCGCGGTTCGAGACCCGGCGGCCGCCCTGGTTAATACCGCCGGTGTGTTTGTGTGTATTAACCGTTAGTTAACCGTGCCCGCCCCGCTTTCCAAGCGGGCGCTCAAGAACCCGTGGCGTTATTAGAAATGGACGAGGCAGTGCGGGTCGCCGTCGCGCTCCAAATGATCCGAGCGTGAAAATGAGCTCACGTTTCTCACAATCGGGCAAATGCACATGGTGGCAACGTCGCCCAGATTACGCTTCTACTGCTGGCCACGCGGACAAGATCAGTCACGTGGGGTAATCGCCCCGTTACGTGCATATTCTACCCCAAGCCCACGCTGACCAGTGTGGTGAAGCACGGTTGGCTACCGTACGTAGCCAACCGTGCTCATCGCTGTATGGTCTGGAAACCCCCATGACCGACATGACATGGGGGGGCTTTTATTCAGGATTGTGATTGACAAAGGGCTCTCATCATCAGCAGCAGCCCAGGTCGATCCACTGCTGGATGAAGGCCTCCCTCCCCCAGGCCTGCGATGGAACGATCCACGTGCTGCGCATGAGCTCATCTCTCTGTTCCATCTCCTAAGCAGTGGACGTCCTCGCGGACGCTTTCCACTCCCTTGGCTGCCACTCCGTTATTTTAATTATTATTATTCGCTATCGACCGTGATCCCTTACTTAATACAGTAGTTTAAATAATGTCACCAACCTACACACGCACACATATATATATAAATACACATACCCATTGTAAATGAAGACAACCCAGAACATCAGAATGTGCGCTCGCAGAAGCGCAAGAATTAGTTTAAAAAAAAACAAAACCCCGACAAGTGAATTACAACAACAAAGAACTTCACCGTCAGGTTCACCTGCGGTGAGACAGCAGGCGAAGGTGTGGCCTTGCAACCGTTTGCTCGCGGCCACTGCTGACGGAAGGCAGGGCTTCCACTCTCAAAGTGAACTCTAAAGGGCGGGGGGGGGGGGGGTCGGTGGTGGCATGCGCTTCCAGATCGACCAGGCGCATTGCAGTAAGCGGGCGTAACCACATTTTTTACCCCACCACATGGGAACTGCCCATCAACTGCGCCGGGAGATGGACTCGAACCGGCGACCCTCTGGGTTGCAAGTCCAGTCCACCGACCATTACACAGCGGTGGCGGCTGCTCACCAGCAGCAGCAACAGCAGCAGCGGTTATCATTTTGTTTGTTTTACAATTCAGCGGGCATTAAGCGGGAGCTCACGCGGGGGGGTTCACTGAACGCACGCTCTCTAATTCGACGTAAAATGAAGACGAAAAGCCGGTTGGTCACAATAACGCGCGTGTCACAGGAATTGCAAGATGAACGCAAATTATGTCTGGTATGTGACAGCCTGGAATGTACTGTGCTCCCCGCAGAAGGGACACCTCCCCTTCCTGGCGCTACGCATCATCACGCGTGTTCCATCCCGTATACAGCAAGGGGAAGCGGGTACTTCGAACAACCACGCTCCATCAGAGATACGAAGCTGCCATTGAACGTGCCCCGCCTTGCAGAAGAGAAGCTCAGCGGGATTGAGCTCTGGTTGACACGAGGAAGGGAGATTTGCCTGGGAATCAGAGCGTGTTGAGTTTTAGTGAACCAAATGAGAACTCGGGAGATTAGGAGCGTCTCAGTGGATCACCAACATGACAAAGAGCAGTTGAACAAAACACAGCAAGAACAAGCGACCAGAATATGCAGGATATGTAAAAAAGAAACTACGTAAATATACATCAATACTAAAAGTGATTATATTGTTGTTTTTGTAAGCTTGCTTCCGGGAAGGGGTAAGGCAACAGATTGTTAAATCTGTGTGGATTTGCGAGTGTTGGTGCTGGGATCTTATCTTCTCATCTTATCTCGAGTCACATCGCACCTTTTCCAAGGCGCTTTAAATTGTGCACACGATGATAATGGTTTGAGATGAAGAATGTGGGGCTATTAGAAGTGGTGGCGTAGCTTCAGTGACAGTATAAGATGCGGGAGTGGTTAGGGAGGCGTTGGGGAGGCGTTGGGGTAGGCCTGGTCGTAGCTGGGGGTGGTGGCGATGGAAATCTGGGGGGCGGAAAAGTTTTGGGGCATCGCATTGGGAAGACAAAGGGGGTTAGGGCGAGGGGCGTGAGCCGGGCGGAGGGGAAGGGGAACCAACCGGGATGGGAGACCGGGCACTCCCGACTTCCTCCCGAGTGTGTCAAACACTCGTTCACGTCATCGGCACAAACATCCCAATGTAGGAAAGGGACTCGGGGAATCACTGCAGCACTCTTGACTAAGAGCCAAGCAGGGATGGGCGTGGTTGGATGGCGGTAATGCCATTGAACGCCACTTCGTCGATGAGATTGTTGAATCTGGCTGTGCGCATCTTTGTGCACGTGACCTACGGGTTTTCTTTCGCATGCTGAACACTCAATGATGTCATATGCCAAGCACCTCAATGCAGAACATGTCTGATTAAAAAAAACAGTCTTGAGACTCAGGTTAGGCTTTCCTGGCGACAGCTCATTGAGGCCACAAAACTGGCTAACAAAAGTCAAAAACAAGAACACGATACAATGTGCCAAGTCTTTAAATTACACGCAAATCAAGTGGACAAAAACACCCCAAGCGAAGGAACGAACAACGCGACGCTGTATAACTGGCACACATGCGCGCGGACATTCAATTCACGCGCGTCGACCGCGTCACGGACTCGGCTCTCAATGGATCCATCCTCACTGAGGTTCGTTCAGTGAATCCGAGTAGCCAATTAACGTGACCTGGCGTGGCCGCTCCAGTCCGGGTGCGGCTTCTCCAATCAAAGGGTTCACAGAAGGTAACTGCCTGCCTGTCCGTGATTTTATAGCTTTGCCCCCCCCACCTCTCCTTTCCAATCGCAAGATTAAACAGAGCAAACGAGAGGAGCCCTACGGGACTCTCTGCCGCCGCCGGGGAGTTCTCAAACAAACGAACGAATAAATGAAAGTTTCAACGGATAAGCCCAGTGATGGTCAACTCAGTCGAGTCGGGGTGGCTAGGGGATGTTAACTACCTCGTCT